AGGAATTCCCTGGCGGTCCAGTGGTTAAGACCGCCCTTCTGCTGCAGGGGGCATGGGTTCGATCCCTGGCTGGGGAACTAGAGATCCCGCATGCTGTGGCCAAAAAATAAAATAAAATGAGAAGTTTTACAAAAAACAAGAAAGGCATCAGCAAACAATAGATCAAATGCCCCCTTCCCCAGGAAGTCTTCCTACTGCAGTTCAACCATAATCCGCATTTTCCTTGGCACCATACTTCTAGTCTCTACCTCCATGCTCACTGGCTACAAGTTAACCTTACCCACTTATCCTAGGAAGGACAGCTAGGACAAAGGAGACTTTGGTCTCCTAGATAAAATAATTTTTGTAGGCAATACTTTAACTTAAAGGGTGACATCTTTGGGCCTCTTGCAGGGTGCCTCTGAAATATTTGTGGAAAAATCTATACAGTACTCCAGAGAGACCAGTGCCCCTTCAAATGAACTACTTTATTCCCCCCCGCCTTCTGGGGGAGAAGGGCCCTGAAGGAATTATGTGACCCCTGAAGCTTCCTCCCCGCCATTCCCAAATTGATCCCAGAAGCTGAAACATCATCCACCCAAACCTCCATCTCAGAATCCATCCTGTGAGAAGCTGGTAAGTAACCCAGTTATGACTCAGCATCAGTTCCCTTCCTCTCCCCATTGGCCAGAATGAAAGGCAGAATCTAGCAGAAGGCTCCTCCCCTATGGATGGCCACATCCTCACCACAAACTGAGTCATGGCCACACCCTGCCTGGATGGAAAATTACAATGAGAGGTACAGGGAAGGTTTAACTCCAGGAGTTTTAAGTTCTCAATCCAGAAATCACAGCCATCTACTCTCCACCTGGAACTAATTGAGGAAAACATTTTCCCAGCCCTAGCATGTCCAGGTCTAAATGACTAAGGCTGCTTGAGCCCAGGACTATGTGAAAAGTAGGAGGCCACTGTCAACCACTGTGTGTAGTATTTGTTGTCCTGGCTTCGGTGAAGGATGGTGTCTTGCTCAGATCTGGCTTTCACAGGCTCCACCTCCCCACCTCCAAGGCAGCCAGGCCTGGGTGGGAGAAAGGGGCAATCCTCCTTCAATGCCCACTGCAGGCTGTAGGAGGATTCCCCTCCAGAAACTCAGGGCCCTGTGCAATTTTCCTTGCAATGAAAGCATTCTTGTTATAGGAATGCTGCGGGTTTTAATTAGATTTGTTTTACACCATACATGTTTTGAATTTTTTCAAATATGGTTATGTATGGCTTTCAAACTTCTCAGATTCGAAAAGTTCTGATGCTGTTATATAGAACGCTATAAAATGGTATATTTGATTTCATTACGATTTTATTAGCATTAAAAGACTAGTATGCATATGCTATTAAAAAAGTGATTCCCATGAGGCAAGCTCAAGTTCTTTGAGTTTTTCTGGTAACACACCATCTGTTCATCACTTCTTATTCCATCATTTGCTAGTACTTGCTATGTCAGATGCCACTGATAAAGAAAAACTGTAAGAAATGGTTAAAAATGAGAAAAGTCTATTACCAATTTCAGAAAATTGAGCAAAAACGTTGTTATAACATTTGAGTAGCCAAGCACCTAGGCTGAATTGCTGGAACACCCGTGGGAGCAGCTTGAAAACCCCTGGGGAAGTAAAAGTGTTAAGAGCTCAGGCCCTAGAGTTGAGGAACTCTGGTTAAAAACCCAGGATGGCCACTAACCAGTTGTGAGACCTTACCCACATTATTTAAGGTCTCTTTAAAAAAAAAAATCTTCTATCTTTGTTTTCAGGATTAAATGAAAAAATATTTGTAAAGTTTGAAAGGCTATATAGCATAGAACCAGAATGGCAGCTCTGGAGTCGGGTTGCCTGTCAGTCACTAGCTGTGGAATATGGACAAATCACTTATCCTTTGTGCCTGTTTCTCATCTACAAAATGGGAATAATGGCATCTATTTCATAGGCTTGTTTTGAGAATTATATTAGTCAATACATATAGAGAGCTTACAACAATACCAAGCACACAGTAAGCCAAGGTATTAGCAAATTATTAAGGTGCTTAGCATAATGCCCAGCACCTACCTAATAAGAACTAAAAAATGTTAGCTATCTCTGATACTGTACACGTGAGCTGCAAGGGTCCTCACACGAGGAAGGAATTTCAGTTAGGGTGGACTCCCTGATGGGGTCATTTACTTAGAGAAATTTCTCCTAGACCTGAAACCAGAATGGGGGAAGAGAGTTGTAGAGTCAGAATGTAGCAGTCTTTATCAAGAAGGGGGTAAAGGGGGCTTCCCTGGTGGCGCAGTGGTTAAGAATCCGCCTGCCAGTGCAGGGGACGCGAGTTCGAGCCCTGGTCCAGGAAGATCCCACATGCCGTGGAGCAACTAAGCCCGTGCGCCACAACTACCAAGCCTGCGCTCTAGAGCCCACGTGCCTAGAGCCTGTGCTCCGCAACAAGAGAAGCCACTGCAGTGAGAAGCCCACACACCATAATGAAGAGTAGCCCCCGCTCACTGCAACTAGGTAAAGCCCACATGCAGCAACGAAGACCCAACGCAGACAAAAATAAATAAATAAAATAATAAGTTTAAAAAAAAAGGGGCGTAAAGAAGTTTAAGAAACAGCTCCTAGGGGGATGGACCGTTAAGAATGGTACTTCCATGTTAAGTTCAGGCTTTGTAGTCTTAACTACAAAGCAGGTAAGATACCCAGGCAAAGGTTACCTCCAAGGTACGATGAAGGTAATGAAAGACAACAGGTAGCCTAGCACAGGCTTTATAAATCAAGAAGCTATAACAATTTAATAAACCCTATACTTGGGCTTCCCTGATGGCGCAGTGGTTGAGGGTCCGCCTGCCGATGCCGGGGACACGGGTTCGTGCCTGGCTCCAGGAGGATCCTGTGTGCCGTGGAGCGGCTGGGCCTGTGAGCCAGCGCTCCGCAATGGGCGAGGCCGCAACAGTGAGAGGCCCGTGTACTGCAAAAAAAACACAAAAAACAAAAACCCTATACTTACAAGCCAGGCTTGTTTAATGCTTTTTGTGTTTTGTTTTTTTTTTGTGTGTGTGTGTGGTACGCGGGCCTCTCACTGCTGTGGCCCCTCCCGCTGCGGAGCGCAGGCTCAGCGGCCATGGCTCACGGGTCCAGCCGCTCCGCAGCATGTGGGATCCTCCCGGACCGGGGCACGAGCCCACGTCCCCTGCATCGGCAGGCGGACTCTCAACCACTGCGCCACCAGGGAAGCCCCTGTTTAATGCTTTTTGTAGTCTCTGTGCTTATATTCCTGTTTTCTTCATTAATAGTTCATAAAATATTTGGCAATATCCAACCTGTCTCTTAGAACTTAGGGTTTTAGGTACACAGAGCACAGCCTAAAGGCCAGCAGAAGGTTGGCAGTGGGAATTTCAACAGGGAGATGGCTTTGACTGAAACAGTTAGGTCTCCTAGAAACCGCTGTCTTCCCTCACACTGCTATCCTTGGAGAATCTGGATTTTGTTTCGTTAAGGGAGGCTTTATTTCCTTAGGATCTCTTTATAGATTTCAAGTTAGAAACCAACCTGCTTCCTGCACCTGCCAGCTCTCCCCCCACCTCCCTTATCCCAAAGAAATAGCTGCGAGGAGGAGAGTAGGGCCCAGCCCCCAAGACACAGAGCAAGGGAGAGCGGATAGGTTTTGTGCAGAACATAGAGGTCCTAAGGATAGGAAATCTGAGCTTCTTTGGCCTCAGTGGTCCTTTGAAACCTTGAAGAAGAGTCACCAGTGGTATTCTATATCTTTCTCAGTTTGTGTCATCTGCATAAGTTTCCTTTATCTAATCCGTTGATGAAAATGTTGACAGATCTGTAGTATACTATACTAGATGGACTTAGCTTTGACTCTATCCAACATAAACAGTCCCAACCCTCATGATGTTCCACTCTCCCCACCCCCACCCGCATTTGGGGGCTTGGGGCAGGTGCTGGGCCAAGGTTAGTCAGACCACAGTGATCATATCCAATCCACAGCACCTTCCATTTTATTGTTTTATTTACAAACAGGGTGAAGTCAACTGGGAAAATCGGGTAGGGAGTCAGTCTGGGCCATCCAAATGTGGAGTGGTTCCTGGGTCAGTCTCCACCATGAAGGCCGCCTCTTCTGTCCTTTTCCTGCCCCTTGGTAATGGCCTCTTGATTCCTCAGGGCAGCCTCGGTTGCTGCTCCTGAGCCCTTTTATGAGGGCAGGTGGATCCTGGGGGAACGGGGGTGGTACGAGGGCTGGGGCCCCCTCAGTTTGTGTAAACCTGAGTTCCGATCACACGCATGATTTCCTTCTGTATCTTGGGGTCCTGAGTATTAATGTTGGCATCGCCCACCTGACCATCCTCATATCTGCCAAAGATAGGGCAAGTGTGAGCATAAGAGGGAGAGCAATACCAGAATAATGTCAACCAATAGAACTGCATTTGGAGGTGTGGCCATCCCATCCAAGAAGTCAAAACCCTTTCTTGATACTCTTTAGGGTGGAAGAGATTCAGCTTATCTGGTGTCCTCTCAACAGACCTTTATCTATACCCATCCCTATCCTCCAAGGGGAAAGTCCCAGTGCCAGCTCCACTCAGGTGGCCAGGGACAAGTCTCCGATAACAGAAACAGACTTTCCCAGTAGTCACATATCATTATGCTCCCACCCTCACTCCTCCAAGTAATTCCCAAGGAACCCTCCTAGACTTACACAAAGAAGAACCGTGTACAGACATGGTCGGACACAGGGCACACCCAGATGTTCCCATGCTTCTGGAGGTCCTTAGATGTAATCACTGGGAAGAGAAGGGCCAGAAGTTATACATATAATGCTTGGGTCAGAGAGTCCAGGCAAGGAAGGGAAGATATGATGCTTCAACATCAACCTTGGCTGGATCATGTGCCAAAGTTGCACCAGAAATAAAGGTTGGGGACCCAGAAAAACAGGGACTGGGTGAGATACCTACCTTCACAAAGTGCTATACAGTTTAGATTCCGACTCTGCAGGAACCTTGACTGAATGGATCGGGTCTGGAAGAGGACAGCAGAGCCAGGTAGATGGTTATAGCTTTCCCTAGAGAGGCTAGTTAGCTGGTAATGGTTGGGGATGGGGATTGGGATATCCAGCCACCCCCCTGAAATTTTTGCTTTCCATAATCAATCTGGATGAGTCCAGGCTTCCATCTTTACGTTTTCATGTCACTGGATTTAAATTCAGTCTCTGCTTTCATACTGAGGCCACAGATGACTCTAGAAATGTGTTCATCTTAGAACATATCTGATTCCTTCAAATGATCTTTAAACCACCCACCCACCACCACCTCCACCTCCACCACCACCATTGTTTCCCCATCCATCTCTGTAGCCTAAACTTATCCCAGAGGAAGGGTCCTGCCTCAGTGGAGCAACGGCAACTACTAATACCTGGGGGATGGTATTCATTCTGTTATATCTCTGGACCAGCTCGTCCTTGGAGGGCATCCTGTGCTGTCCTTTTCCCATTCCTGTCACAGAAAAACAAACCAGTTCATTCACCCATTCCTTAATCAAATATTTACTGAGTGCCTACTATGTGCCAGGCACTGAGCTAGAGACGCTTGGTGATACAGCAGTGAATAAAGCAAACAGTGTATCTGCTGTCACAGAATTTAGTCTGATGGAGATTACAGGAAAGGAACAAATAATTACAATAGAGCATGGTAAGGGTTATGATGGGGAGAATATAGAGCACTGTGTGAGCCAAAGGAGAACTAACCTAGCCTCGGGGTTTGAAGAAGGCTTCCCGGTGACAGCTATGCTGAGAACTACAGGATTAGGAAGAGTTAGCTAAATGAAGAGGGAAGAAGTACGCTAGGCAGAGATAATAGGATATAAAAGGCCTGGAAGAAAGACAAAGCAGTGTGCTTTAGTTTGTACCAGCTTAGTTGATGGCAGAGAAGTGGTGAGAGATGATGTGGAAGAGATAAGGTAGGATAAGATCAAGCAGGCCTAATAGGCCATGTTGAAGCAAATGGAGTTTATCCTGAGAACATCTGGGAATCACTGAAGGGTTCTAAGACAGGGAATAACACAAGAAATGAGTCAGGAATGAGGGGCCTAAGAGAGTGGTGACATCAACACCTCGGGTCAAATGCCAGGCTGAGTGAAATAAGTGGAGAGGAAGCAAGCAGAGCAAGTCAAATCTGCTCTAGTTCAAAGTTACATAAAAAGCTCTGACCAGGGTCATTCAGAGAAAAGGGAGAAAGGAGAGCAGTTAGGTGATGAATAATTTTCCATAGGTAACCACAACGGCAACTACCTTGAACAGTCCTGCTTCCTTCAGAAAGTCCTCCCAGACTTAGGAGGTGCCAATTCACTCATTTTCACCCTATCTAAATTCATAAATCCTCCGCCATCTTTACCCCTCACTGAATAGCCCTGTTTATAACATTTATAGATTCATTCTGGATTCTTCCTACTTAGATGTGAAACAGTGCTTGTGTGCCCCTATTCCCAACTCTTTCTGGCCTATAATTAGGACTTCAGTCTCTGTATTCAGCTTTATCACAGGCCCAGCCTTATCACAGTCAGGGATGAGTCTGTGTATGAGACCATGAGACCCAAGAGGGAGACGGATGAAGATGGGAAATGATGCTATCATTGCAGGCCATAAGCAGGGCACTTATCTCACCAGTCCACCCTGGAACTTTCTATTATTACTAACTCCACACTGCTGCAAGTCTTGGTTTTGTGATAGCCATGGTATAGAAGTAGGGATGATAACCACTGGACTGACATTCTTCACTGCTCAGGCTCTCAATTCATCATGCACTCACACTGAAGCCCCATGACAGATTTATTGCCTGAACAAAATTTAGGGCAATGAGAGCCTCAAGACTTGAATTGCCAATTTCTTTCTCCTACAGGACACCCACCACCCCTCTGTTTACAACTTCTCCATTAGCCTTAACTAGGTTTAGCTCTGCATCCAAACATGATGACTTTCTCAGCCTGGGTATTTCAGTGCACGGTTCTGAGTGAAATTCCCATTTAGGTTCTATCCCAGACGTTAAGAGAGAACAATCTGATTTCTATGTCTGGTCTTAGAGATGGCCCTTATGATATAATCCAAATCTTGTCCCATCCCAATCCTGTTGCACACTGTCCTGACCATAATGACCCAACCATCTTCTGTCAGTTTCCCTGAGACCAGACACCCTGAGAACCTGGAGGCCAGAATAATCCGTGGATGCTTTGTGTCCAGAGTATACACTTGTGAGAAGCTTCTAAACACGACTAAACACATAGATGGAGTTTACCATCTCCTTTCCCACTGTCCCTCATTTTAACCTGCTCACTATGCCAAGTCATTAGGGGCTCCGCTCGTCAAATGAATGCTCTCTATTTACACCGACCCCCAGAGGGCACCCAATGTCACTAGGCTACAGATACCCTGAGGAAAAATAGAGAAAACCAGAGCAGAAAGGGGTGGAAGGAAACATACAAAGAAGACAGAGTTGGCCAAATGCTGGAGTTAACTAAAATAACTTGGACATTTACACACATCTCACCCAGTATCAGAGACTCTCACATATCTATGGGGCCCTCAGACTCAGTCATTCAAGCAAAGCCTACCCTGTGAGTCCAATATAATGATAAGAAACACTGGTCTAGAAGTTAGGAAAACTGGATTCCATTCCTAACTCTGCTACTTAGATCTGTGTGACCCTAAGAAAGTCATTTAACTTTTCTGTGTATCTACTTTCTTACCTGTAAAGTAATAAGAGATTGGACAAGATGACCTATAACTCCAGTAGTAAAAGCATAAGGTATTTTGTATCTATAATCAAATCGACCTTTGGAGGGAGAAGGATGGTGCCATATGATGTTTTTACATTATCAGTACATGAAAAAGAAAGTTAAGAAGTCAATAGAGATTCCTGGCTCCATCTAATAACTAAAGGTATTCAGGCACTCAGTAATAAACAAAGGCCAATGGGAGAGGAGAGAGGGAGAGAACAGGGAGAAAACAGACAAGAAGAAAGAATTTTGTGGGCACTAAAAGCCAGGAGGATCTCACTACTTAGAATAAGAGCTTAATTAGAGGGAGGCTCAGGCTGGGACAAAGATAACAATTGTAGAACCTAGACAAAGCCAAAAGACTACCCTGATCCCACCCTGACTGTGGACCCCAGGCACACAGAATAAGATTCATTCACACATTCAATAAATATATATTCACTGGGCCCTTACCCTTCTTGGATTAATCATAACCTTTGGTTCACAACACACTATCATTTATTTAATTGGACAATGAATACCTACAGACCTAACCTAAGAACGAAATCCAAGAACTAAAACATTACCAGTGACTTACATCTAAGTGCTCCTAACTCTATCCCAACTATCTGCCTCCACTTGGGAGGTTTCCACTATCCCAAAATTTGAGTTATTTTTTTCTTCAGTTTTATCACGCACACACACATAGCTAAATAATTTTAATTTTTTAAATTAATTTATTATAATTATCTATTTTTTGCCTGTGTTGGGTCTTCATTGTGGTGTGTGGGCTTCTCATTGCGGTGGCTTCCTTGTTGCAGAGCACAAGCTCTAAACACACAGGCTTCAGTAGTTGTGGCTCATGGGCTCAGTAGTTGTGGCTTGTGGGCTCTAGAGTGCAGGCTCAGTAGCTGTAGCGCACAGGCTTAGCTGCTCCACGTCATGTGGGATCTTCCCAGACCAGGGCTCGAACCCGTGTCCCCTGTATTGGCAGGCGGATTCTTAACCACTGCACCACCAGGTAAGTCCTAATTTTAATTTTTGAGCAACATAAAAAAGGCATCATACAGTAGTCCTCTGGGCTTGCCTTTTTTTTTTTTTTTACTCAACTATTATTTACTCAACATTTTTTCCATGTTGCTGAATGCCACTGTTGGTTCATTTTCATTGATGAGTAATAATCCATTGTAAGAATATATTAAAATGTATTTATCCATTCTCCTGATGATGAGCACTTGGGTTGTTTCTAAGATTTGCTGTTGCAAACAATATTACTCTGAACATTCATGTACACACCTTTGGGTGCACATATGCAGAAATGAAAATGCTGGGTCACAGGGATAAATTTTCTCAGTTTTATGAAATTTAACACCAAATGTTTTCCAAAGTGGTCGTACCAATTTATATTCCCGTAAGTGATAAAACAGATCCTGCTTATCTGCAACCTCTGGTACAATCAGAGGTATTATCAGATTTTTAAATTTTTGCCAATCCACATAGATGCTACATGGTAAGTCATTACAGTCTTGCTTTTACTTCCTAGATTAACAGAGGATGAGTAGCTGCTCATATTTTTTGGTCATTTATTCAGTGAGATACCTGTTCATGTTGTTTGCCTTTTTTTTTTATTGGATTATCTTTTCCTAATTTGTAAGAATTTTTAAAATGCATCTTTATTACTAATCTTTTATAGTTGTATGTGTTACAAATGTCTTCTGGTTTCTAACTTGGCGTTTTCACTTTCTTAAGGTGTCTTCTGATGAACAGAAGCTTTTCGTATTAATAAAGTCAAATTTACCAATCTTTTATGATTTGTAATTCCATCTTTTTCTATTCTCTGGGTGATTTTGTTTAAGATTGGGATAATTTGTTCTTTGAAAGTGTGACTTAAGACTCACTTGTAAAATTATCTGGGTTTAGCAGAAACTAACACACCATTGTACAGCAATTATACTCCAATAAAGATGTTTAAAAAAAATTATCTGGGTTTGTTTTTTGTTTTGTTTTGTTGTGGCAAATTTGAAACTACTATTTCAATGTCTTTTACAATTTTAGACCTATTCAGGCTTTCTATTTCTTCTTGAATCAGTTTTCTTAAGTTATTATTTTTCTAGGGATTTATCAATTTTGACAAAGTCTTCAAATCACTGGCATAAAGTTGACAGAATTCTGTTAGCTTTTAAAATTTTGCTATATCTATAGTTAGGTTCCCTTTTTCATTCATAATATTATTTAATTGTGCTCTTTTTCTTCTTAATCAATCTAGCCAGGTTTATCTGTTTTGTTAGTTCTTTAAAAGAATCATCTTTTGGCTTTTTTGAGCCTATTTATTGTACCTGTTTTTATTTCACTGATTTTGGTTCTTACCGATATTAACTCCTTTCTTCTACTTTGTTTGGTTTATTCTGTCGTTAGAGACTTTTCTAGTTCTGTTATTCTGGAACTAAGTGTTATCTTTATAACAGTTACAATTAATGGAGAATACTAAATAGTAATTTATAAAAATCTAGCACTGGCCCCTTCATATGGTAGACATGCAACTATATGGTGGCTCACTTTTATACAGAGACTATATAGAACAAGAAAAGAAGACTGAAAAGGAACTCAGACATAAACTTGAAACAATGAGAGAGCTAAGTCAGATTCGTTTTCTGAGCTGGACAAAGCTGAACTCATCTCCTGACTAGAATCTGGACATTGTTTATGCCTTATCTTTGGAATAAAATGCTTCCTCTTGCATTCAACGTGACTAATATAATAGTGTATAATTATACATAGTTTAAATTTTAAAAGGTGGTTGACAAGGAGGAGAACAATGTCTTCAGAAATGTAAGCCAGTGGAAGGGGCTCAAGCCTTCAAGTGCATTCATATATAAACTCGCATGCACGTGTGGTGTGCACACACACAATCTATAATGAAAGGCTAATGCCAACACCAAAAATGTGCTCTCCAAAGAGCCTAGTTTCATTTCCCAGTTATTCCTTAACCCACTCCCAGGACCAAGGCCCCACAATGAATAAAACCATCCCCATGGAGAAGAGGATACCTAAGAGAAAAGGAGATAGTTTGCCTCAACTTGCAAAGAATTTGAATTCCTAATGAGAGAAAATAGAGAAAGATTATGTATCCATGATTGGGGAGAGAGCTGACACAGACCAAGTGTCCATGATGGAAGAGGAGACAGCATAGGATTATGTATTCACAAAATGGATGCAATGTAAACAGAGTCAATGTGACCAAAGATTATTTCTTACCTGAGTATCCAAAGGAAATACTGGAGATGGGGCTCAGGTAGATGCCTTTGCCATAGGCTGCTCCATGCAGCTTGCAGGGAAACACCAGGATGAGCAATATGAGCCTGGGCCCACCCATGGCTGTGTATTAGGCAGCCACAAGGCTTATCCAGTCCTCTGTCCCTCCATTTAATCTTCTCAATCGCTCAGATAACTTTAGGCACCTACTCTTGAAAAGCTAATTGGCTGAAAAATGGATGCAAGTTAACCCCTTTGCCTGTGAAATAGTAGATATTGATGCCTTGGAGAGTGAGGAGTGGCAGAGCCACTGAGTCAGTTCCTCAGAAGCCATGCTCCTGTCCCTAGGCCTTGGTATATATGCAGATCCCCACCCTCCAAAAAGGAATACAGAACAGGCAGTCAGGAGGAGGAACAATAACTATTCCTTGGAGTCTTGCAGGGCAAAGAAATAAGTCTCCTATATCAACTCTCTGAATGAATAGTCACATATACTGAAAAGCTCTAACAAGTTAATTTATCACAGTGGCTGCAATCAGCAGTTTATTATTTCTGCCTACAGCTACATTCCCATTCCTAAAAACACCAAAAAACACAGCCTAGGGTCAAAATACAACAGCCACATTCATTCTATACATAGAGTTCCAACTTCCTCCATAGGGAAGCCTCACGGGAGGCTAGGTTTGAGGACACTGAGGCAAAAACAGCTGAGTACTCTAGAGTAGACTTCAAAACTGAGTGGGGCAGGGAGGGGGGTGGAGAGAAAGGGAAAAGGGGCACAGCCTCACCTGCAGTTTGGTGTAGGATGCATTGACCAGCCCATTGCGCAGGATCGAATGCCAGTTCTCAATGTGGGACCCACTGTAAGGCAGGGTAGAATATATGTCTCCTCATGGAATGAGGTTCCCAGGAGCACTTCCAAGACTGCCACTCCCACCCATTCTCACACTCACAGGACATGAAGATGGACACAAATAAACCTAGCAATGGATATGCACATGGATATAGTCACAGGCATGCAAGATGTGTGTGTGTGTGGCTAACCCTTACATCTTAATATCCAGTCTCCTCTTCTCTTCCACGCTTCAAACAGTCCCATCCTAAATCCTCAACTGCTGGTTCAATATTTTCACTTGCCTATTATCCTGATATCTCAAATTAAATAAATTCATCTCAAACTTAACACGATTATCACTGATCCCAAATATGGCTTCCAGTAATGACTTCACATCTCTTTTAAGGAAAGGGTACCACTAACTCCCTTTAAGTTACCTTTAATCTCTCTTTTTCTCTCCTCTCACAACTGGGCATAAATTGCTGATTTCCTTCAAAGTAGCTTTCAAATCTAACCCTGCTATAATCTGTTCCTTCAACCACGTATTTTTATATGTAAATGCCATTTCTCCTCAACTACATCACAAGTAGCTTGAGAGTAAAGACCATATCTTATGTATCTTTCTCCTCTACAGTACCTACCACAATAGCATGTAGTATCTGTTGACTGACTGGTTGATGGACATAGATAACACAAACTCATATGCCTCAAGTGAACTTGCCTTCCCATCCCTCTACATTATTTCTGCCTTATCCAGCACCCATCCCCAGCCCCGCCCCACTCCTCACTGGAAGGCAAAGGTGCTGCCATAGAGCTTCTTGGCGGTCCGGAACCGAGCCTCCTTGGCGGGAGGGCTGCTCAGCAGGAGGAACTGGTGTGAGGTGTGCATGAACTTCAGCTGCTGCCCAGGGTGGGGGTGGGGTCAGGAAAACAGAGCAGAAATGGAGATCAGGGAGGGAAGGGAGCAAATTAGGCTTGCACTGACCCCAAAGAAAGGAAATATGTGTAGGCCCAAAGACTACTGAGACAAGCCCAACCAGGCAGGTCTAGGACCAATTCAGTTAGCTGGTTTGGAGCCCCTCCCTGCCCCTCACCAGAAATTTAGTGTTTAGAGGGAGAATGGTCACTTACCCTGCTGAGAGGTAGTTTGACAATGTGTGACCTGTTACTAGAGATGATCCTAGGACAAAACAGAGGAAAAACAAAAAGGATAGAAAAAGTGTGTAGTTAGGCCATCCTGAACAAGGTAGCAGCCTTGCTCTGCCCCTGGGAGAACAAGCAAGGATTCCAGGGCTGTTTTGAGTCCAGGACACTATCTGGATATTCCTGTGGGTGGTAATGTTTGTGTATAAAAATGTAAAAGCGAAGTTACTGACCAGGGACCAGCAAGTTACTGGGTAGTTAAACACAATGGATGAAAGAAAGAGAGGAGTGGGAGGTGGGCTGCTACATCTAGGGAGAGAAAAGGATAGAACAAAAGGTCAGCACAAGAGGTCAGCTACCAAAAAAAGTTAGAAAGGTGGGGTCTGTATTAGAATGGTGACAACTTACACTTGGGATTTAGAAACTTAGAACTGGGGCTCAGGAGCCATCCTGCCTGAGCTCAAAGGAAGGCTGAAGGCTCTCAGAGATGAGGGGAATGGAAAGTTATTGTTTGAGATGCAGAAAAAAAACAGAAGAAACTAGAACAAACTTCCTGAGGATCTGGGGACAGACTGGGCCATATGTAGGCTGAACTTAGAGGATAGGAGAGAACAAAGGCATAAACTGTTGAGGGCTCAGCAAGGGAGTATTATCTCTTATAGTGGACATGTTTTTTTTCTTTTGTGCTTCACTCATGTACCTGTGATGCCATCCTGGATGGTCTATGCCTGGTCATTCCTCATGCTCGGAGGGAGCATGTTGCATTGAGAAAGTACTAATGTCAAAGGCTGACTAGACAGAAGGAAGTAAGCTAGAAGGGGAAAGCTATGTCAGGAAAAGAGAAATCAAGAGAACAGAAATCAAGATCAGGGAGGGAGGGCAAGGGGTGGAGGGAAGTAGAGAAAGGTCAGAACCTTTGCTAGGAGAAGGGAGTAATAATAGTGCTTCAAGGCTCTGGACAGTCAACATCAACAGGGAAGGGCTTGAGATATGGAAAGGGCATAGAAGAGGGAGACAGACTTCTCTGCATGCATAGAAACCCTAACTGAAATGAAGTGTTAATTCCGACATGCAAGCAGCACTCAAAAACCTATTGGGAAACAAGAAACACCTAAAGAGAACTTTAGACAACACATTAGAATTTGTGGGCTCTTGGTAGGATCTGAGTTCCTGTCAAGGGCAGGTGTATCAGTAAAACCCAAGAAAGCGCAGCCATAATATCTATAACCTTGGGAAGGAAGCTGAAACCACCTCTAAGAGAAGGTGTAGGCTCCATGTCTGATACTATGCCCCATTCCCCCACCTGCCAAAGGATGAACCATTCTACTCATACCACTGCAGAAGAGGATGGGCCAGGGGATCCAGCTTGTCCATCTGCTTCTTGATTTCCAGATATGAGCCCTGTAAGACAATGGCCGTAAGGTTATCTCCCAGGAGAGATGGGAGCCCTCCCACTTTCCACAGACTATCAGGGCCCAGGGCAAGGTAGGCACTGAAGACCACACCAAACCAAGAGGAGATGGGGTTCCCACCCTCAACGACCCCAGTCAGGTTGGGAAGACTCATAAATAAATATGAAAATGACCGAAAATGCTTACAAAACAACATGCAGGTGGGTCTCCCTCATTTTATGCAATTCCTACAGCCCTAAAAAGTTGATTATAAATCAAAATAAATAAATAAATAAAATCAATGTCTCAGAAAGATTAGGCTAAGGAATCCTGTGGTAAAACTTTACATAAAACATAAGAGTCCTTCTGAAAAGTAAATCATCCCTCCTGGGTATATGTTAAGTGTTAATCTGAACTGTGATATATAGGATTTGCTGAGAAGAGGCCCACCTGTAAATGTGAGTACAAATGAATGTCTATTCATGCAGAGATTGCAGACGAGGGGTGGGGAAGTCTGGTGAGAGACAGCCTTGAGTCAAAGGATGGTCACTGCTCCATGTGGCTGCCCCACCCCTAGAAGGATAGAAGATGTAGGCCCCTGGGTCTAGTTCCTTACCTCCAAGCCCCCCTCCTCACCCTCCCAACCCTGGACAGAGGTCTTTCCCTCACTTCTCTAATGCCCTAAGAATTATGGAAAAAACATTAAATAGGAACAACTTGTGAAGGAATTAGCAGCAAAGGTAAAGGTTGAGAGAGACATAAGCAGTGAGAAATAGGAGTAACAGCTAACAAAACAGAGAACAAAGACTGGGAAGAAAAAGAGGGAAAACTAAAGAGAATACAGTGAGGGATTTGAGTAGCATCTCTACATCTTCACTCCACTTGCATGAATTTCAAACAGAACAGGGCACTTGAGTGGGCAGGCAGGGGACAGGTAGAGGGTAGAATACCTGGGTCATCTCCCGGATGGACATCACACTATCCAGAGCTTTCTGAAGTCGCTCATAATTCTTCTTCTGTGGGGAATCAATGGGAAGAGAAGAACCAGATGAACAAAAGTGGAGAGTAAGATATGATGAAAAGGAGAGGCCAGATGTACAAAAGAATTCTAGGCCCCAGGGAAACAGCATAGTATGTCATGGAAAGAACACAGATTTAATGTCAAAAAGTTCTAGAATCACATGCTAGTTCTTTTTTTACCAGCTGAGGTAATAGGGTAAGTTACTTAACCTCTTAGAACCTCAGTATCCCCGTATGTAAGTGATGATAAAAATTCCCACTACCCTCAGAGAGATGACCTAAAGATTAAATAACGTATGTAAAGAACCTGGTATAGTGCCTGATACATAGCAATGAGAGTAATAGTGAAGCACTGTGCTGGGTACCTGTGATGGTTAATTTTGTCAATCATCAATTGTGTCAATTTGGGCCATGGGTGTGTCTGGGTGTGGCTGTGAATGGGTTTCTAGAGGAGATTAACCTTTGACTAGCAGACTGAGTAAAGGAGACTGCCATCCCTATTCAGGTGGGACTCATCTAATCGGGTGAATAGAACAAAACAGCTGAGTAAGAGGGAACTTCTCCAGCCTGACTGACTGGAGCTGGGACATTGGTCTTTTCCTACTTTCAGACTGGAACTGAAAAATCAGCTCTTCTTGGATCTCGAGCCTGCTGGATTTTGAATTGGAACTTATACCATCAGCTCTCCTGAATCTCCAGCTTGCCCACTACAGATCCTGGTACTTCTCAGCCTTCATAATCACATGAGCTAATTCCTTACAATAAATTTCTTTCTCTAAACATCTCCTATTGGTTCTGTTTCTCTAGAGAACCCTAACTTATACAATATTTTATATATATTATCTCCCATTTTTATAACAGTAGATATTATCTCCTTTTTACAGATAAGGAAATTGAGGTTCAGAAAGGTTAAGTGATTTGCCTAACACCATTCAGCTAGCAAGCAGCAGAACCTCAAATGGAATCAAGGTCTGTCTGGCTCCAAAGTCTGTATTATTCTCTATCATAACATAACTAATATTAATCGTTCTCCCCTTCTTCTGAGAAACACAGAAGTTATTATTTATCTTATATCATTAGTTATGTTTAGTTATTTATTCACTAAAACGGCTAAAGCAAGAGTTCCCAAGAAACAAGTGCTCCATTTCTTCTGTCCCCTTATTCCAAGCTGTTGGAATGACAGCCCAAAGTCTTCCACTGTCTTTTAACACCTCTGTTCCTGAGTCCTGATTTTCTTCCCAAGCAACTATACCTTAGGATTAAAGGCCAGAGTCTTGGGATCAGTGGGGTCCACCACAGAGGGATAAGGCTCAAAGATGATGCTCTTTCTAGGGGACTCCAAAGCTGCCCTACACATGGCCACCAGCAGATCCACGACCTTAAGAGAAAGGAGAGAAAGGGGGCAAAAGCTAAATGATTTCCCAGTGCTGGGAGTCACACAGTACCCAGCATAGGTCTACCTTCTGGAGGTTCTCAGCATTTCTCTTTTCTCTTTTTTTTTTTTTTTGCGGTACGCGGACCTCTCCCGTTGCGGAGCACAGGCTCCGGACGCGCAGGCACAGCGGCCATGGCTCACGAGCCCAGCCGCTCCATGGCACGTGGGATCTTCCCAGACCGGGGCACGAACCCATGTCCCCTGCATCGGCAGGCGGACTCTCAACCACTGCGCCACCAGGGAAGCCCAGCATTTCCCTTTTTAATATCTTTTTTTTTTTTTTTTTTTTGCGGTACGCGGGCCTCTCACCGCTGTGGCCTCTCCCATTGCGGAGCACAGGCTCCGGACGCGCAGGCTCAGCAGCCATGGCTCACGGGCCCAGCCGCTCCGCGGCATGTGGGATCCTCCCGGACCGGGGCATGAACCAGTGTCCCCTGCATCGGCAGGCGGACTCTCAACCACTGCACCACCAGGGAAGCCCCATTTCTCTTTTTAAAAGCAAATATGAGGGGTGGAAGAGGGATGGATTTGGAGTTTGGGATTAGCAGATGCAAACTATTATATATGGAATGAATAAACAACAAGGTCCTACTGTATAGCACAGGGAACTATATTCAATATCCTCTGATAAATCATAATGGAAAAGAATTATGAAAATGGATGTATATATATGTATAACTGAATCACTTTGCTCTAAAGCAGAAATTAACACATTATAAATCAACTGTATTTTAATAAAATTTTAAAAAGACAAATGTTTATGATTTTTTCATTAGAAAATATAACCTCATTATAAAAATTCAAAAACAATGTTTAAAAGGGTGATTAAAAAAAGAGAAAAATCATCCCCTTGCCCCCAAATCTCACTCCTTACAGGTAACTACTGCTAAGTTTGATGTATATTCTTCCAGATATTTTTGCTACAGAAACTGCTATTATATAGGCAATAAAAAAAAAAGAATTGTATTATACATACTGTTGTGTTTTCTTTTTTATATATGCTATAATTTTCTATCCAAAAATTTCTACTGCAAAGGACATACCATCATTCTTTAACTGGACCCTGTACAGATGGGCTTGTACCCATTTTTTTTTTTAACTATTATGAACAATACTAGGGAATTCCCTGGAGGCCCAGTGGTTAGGACTCTGCGCTTTCACTGTCCAGGGCACAGGTTCAAATCCTGGTCAGGGAACTAAGATCCTGTAAGCCACATGGCGCAGCCAAAAGATAAATAAGTAAAATATTTTAAAAAACCCACTATAGTGGGGTTTTTTATACTATAGTGAACAGCCTTACATAGAAAAGCATTTCTGGAGATTAAATTCCAAGCAGTGAAAATGCTGTGTTCCCCAGCCCTTCTTTTTTTTTTTTTTTTGCGGTACGCGGGCCTCTCACTGCTGTAGCCCCTCCCGTCGCGGAGCACAGACTCTGGATGCGCAGGCTCAGCGTCCATGGCCCACGGGCCCAGCCACTCCGCAGCATGCGGGATCCTCCCGGCCCGGGGCACGAACCCGCGTCCCCTACATTGGCAGGCAGACTCGCAACCACTGCGCCACCAGGGAAGCCACCCCAGCCTTTCTTGATCCCAATTCCCCAGCAGCTTTTCCCTCCCCCATACCTCTGCTCCAGTGGCCACCTCCTCTGCAGCTCCAGACATGACTCCCAAGGTGTAGAAGGAGAAAACGCACAGTTCACGAGTACAGACGGCTGGCTGAATGGACATATTAAAGAGATGGTGGTGGCAGGAGGTGTCCAATTAGAAGGTATCATAGTGCAAGAGGGGTGCCTGACCTCAGACAACTCTAGATTGATATTCACATATCCTCATCTTTCCAAATAGGACTGCTGAGATTTGCTTTCTGAGAAAAACAATTATTTCTAGAGTCTCAAGGAGTGTGGACAGAATTCTACCTTTATCATAGATCCAGGAAGAAAGGAAAAATGGAGAGATGAGGAATTAAGGGGCCTCAGCTAAGTGCAAGAAAGAGGGTCACGAAATAGAGGCATATACCTTGAGCATGGACCCATTCTGGAAGACATGCTGCTCATCACACACCACGCAGTACTCGTTCAATGTTGGAATCCTCTGCTCTGCATATTTCATGATCTGAGGAGAGAAGAGATTCTACTTATCTTTTGGAAGCCCAGACCCAGATGTAGGAAATAATCTGAACTTCTTTTCCAGTTACTCTCCTACCTCCCAGCCCTGTGCCTAAGGCAGAATCTGTTCTTGGATCCTGCACTTAGTTAAACTGATAGCCTAACTCTAGAGCTAAGACTATATAGTATAATAAAAATAAGACCAGCCATGGTAGAAGACCTGGGTTAAGATTCCCCCCCTACTACTTAATATCATATATAACTTTGGGCAAGTCAATTAACCTAAGCCTTGGTTTCTTCATTTACAAAGTGGACATTATTCACCTCACAAAGGTACTGAGAGTAAAAAGATGATTTCTGTGAAAGTATTTTATAAACAAGTACTAATCAAACTATTAACATTAGTTGTAGTAATTACAGATTGCCCCCATGTGACAAGTGAGTATTCAGTCCATGATCAGATGCCTGAGAAGCCATTTTAACTACCTAGAACAATCAGCCTGTAAACTGATCAAGACCACAGATAAAACTCTGTGCTGGGAAGACAGCACAAATCCAGAGCTCATGCAGCAATATCCTAAAGTTTTTTTTTTTTTTTTTTTTGCGGTACGCGGACCTCTCACTGTTGTGGCCTCTCCCGTTGCAGAGCACAGGCTCAGCGGCCATGGCTCATGGGCCCAGCCGCTCCGCGGGATGTGGAATCTTCCCGGACCAGGGCACGAACCCATGTCCCCTGCATCGGCAGGCGGACTCTCAACCACTGCGCCACCAGGGAAGCCCCTGAAGTATTTTTTATACACTCTGTCTTAACATGGCTTTTGCAACCATGTACACTTTGTGTATAAATCAAATTGTTCCCATTTCACAAACTTTTGGGATGGTAAATGGACATGCAAGGGCTTTTATTCATTCATTTAATGCAGATTTATTGAATGCCTACTATGCACCTAGCTCAGTGAAAGGTCTCCTTGATTATTCAATAACATAAAAGACTGTCTTCTCAGACCCCATACTCCAACAGAGAAGATGTGGTATGTACACAAATTAATTACAATTCAAGGCAGCATATGGTACCTGACACATCAGTGCCATATAAAACAAAAAGCATCAAAAGAGTTCAATGAGAGGAGACACACTTCCAGCTAATACATTTCAAGTAACAGAGGAGATTTTATGGAAAAGCTGGCAACTGAGACTTGACTGCAATAGGCAGCTATAGTGAGAAAGGTCAGTGGAGGGAATGACATGAGTAAAGATAATGGAGATGCAAAAGTGAAACCATGGGGCATCCCTGGTGGCACAGTGGTTAAGTATCCACCTGCCAATGCAAGGGACACGGGTTCGAGCCCTGCTCCAGGAAGACCCCACATGCCACGAAGCAACTAAGCCCGTGCGCCACAACTACTGAGCCTGTGCTCTAGAGCCCACGAGCCATAACTACTGAGCCCTAGTGCCACAACTACTGAAGCCGGCGCACCACAACGAAGAGTAGCCCCTGATCACTGCAACTACAGAAAAGCCTGTGCACAGCAACAAAGACCCAAGGCAGCCAAAAATAAAAATAAATAAATTAAAAAAAAAAAAAAGTGAAACCATGTCTGGAAAATAAAGAGGGTTTAAAAAGAAGCAAATGACCAGAAGCAGCTAAGCAGTGAAAGTTTGTGAGGAAAAGTGAAGCCCACTTGAGCAAGGATGTGCGGGATCATAAGAAAATCAGTGTCAATCCTTCTCTCATCTTGGCACCAGCGCACTTAAAATTTGCAATGTCTCATTTGGCACTTGATCGTAAGTGGTCTATAAGAGCTGTCTTCCCAATAATGCTATAAACTTCTTGACGGTGGAAACTATGCCTTCTTTTCTCCTATCCACACAACACTCAGTATAGCTCTGGAAGCAGAACAGTTCAGGAAATGTTTGCTAACTGACTGAAGAGCTGGGAGATGTTAGGGGATCAGATGGGTCAGAAAACAGGGGAAAGGCTTTGGAATGAACCTTTGGACTTGATTACCTGGACAAGGAATCCATATTCCAGAGTGGGGATGTTTTTGCAGTGACCACTGACCTGATGAGAGGAAAAAGACAGACTCCGTGAACCTCCTATGAAGCTGGTGACTAGAAAGACCTCACTCACGCCCAATACCTAAAATTCTCTTAAAGCAGCTAAGCCCTAACACTGATCAGTCTAAGTAATCCCCAAGCTGCAGAGAAGACCTTCAGACATTTTTGCCAAGGTTCTTAAAAAAGACTCACCTCAAAAAAAAACAAAACAAAAAACAAAACAAAACAAAAAAGACTCACCTGTCCTTAAACCCCTTCAAGGTAGGTGGAATATGTCTGTAAAGTAGCTGACTACCAAGTCCTAACCACAACCTAACAAAATCATACATGACATCTCTGTGGGATGCCCAACCCCAGACTCTCTGCTTCATGACATACTATCAGAGAAGCCTGCCAGACTGTTCAGATATAAGTTCACAACTATTAAAAAATGTGTTCCATTCTACTCACTCATGATTCATGCCCAGGTTTGGTTTATGATGCCTGGACAACCAGACCCCACCCCATTTTGAGAAGCTGTATTCCCACATTTCCCCTCCCACCCTCTGACACCCAAGTCAAACCCTCCTCAGCCATGTACCAAAGGAGAGGTCCATGCTGGGGGAGGGAGGCCCACGTGCTGGGGGCACTGGAGACCTGCCTGGGGGCTGGGAGGGTAGCCAAACACCTCTACTTTGGGGTTCTTCATGGTGCAGGAGATGGAACGGTTCATGAGGCGTCCAACTCGAAGCTCTGGTACACCCAGTTTGCCTTTCAGCATGGAGTCCTGTATGATAGGGAAACTCGGAGACCTAAACACAGAGCAAAGAGAAGTGATGAGACTGAGTATTCAGTATGAGCACTAGAAGCGACCTGGAAGGACTTCCCTGGGGGTCCAGTGGTTACGACTCCGCACTTCCAATGCAGGGGGTGCGGGTTTGATCCCTGGTCAGGGAACTAAGATCTCTCATGTCACGTGGCATGACCGGAAAGAAAAAGAAAAAAAAAAAGAAAAAAAAGAAGAGGTCTGAAGATAAGAATAGATGAAATGACCTAAGCCAAAGAGCAACTCATATCTGAGGAAAGTTCCATTGGATCAAACTGTCAAAGCAAGTAGATCACTACACAACTGGTTTAATTTTTATGTCATTATCTATGTCTTCAGATTGGAACACGAAGGGCAGGCAAAGGCAAAGCCTAGGGCATTCTGTGCAGCATCTGGACCAGGTAAGGGATACCCTGGAGAAGATGCCTGTTTCACTTAGAGAGAGAGAGAGAGAGAGAGAGAGAGAGAGAGAGAGAGAGAGGGAGAGAGAGAGTGTGTGTGTGTGTGTGTGTGTGTGTGTGTGTGATTACACTACTAGGCAAGAAATGTGTGTGTGTGTGTGTGTATGAGATTACACTACTAGGCAAGAAACAGTTGGACCCCAAAGAGCCTAATGTCTGTCTCTCTGTCAATAATGGCACCTGGAAAACTACAAATCTGGGTTTGTATTTGCCTTTGGGAAGATCAGAAGGCACTGGGGGGATAAATGTAGGCCTAGGATCAAAGAATTGAGCAATATTTATTTCCAGAACCTAGGTAATAAATCAGTGTGCCCTTCCATAAGAGCAAGGACTTGGGGCCTATTAGCTCTGACTCTGCCTCCTTAGGATAGGGAATAAGGATAAGTGTCAAAGAAAGTAAAGATGGAGAGATTAGCATACATTTCTCCAAACATGTACCATGCGCTAGGTACTGTGTTTTACATAAAGGACGAGATATGACTACTGGGTCAGGAGTAGAAGGGTAAAGACACATAGGGGACAGGACCATGTGGGTGGTATTAGTAGCTAAAGGTACAGAATTTAGAGGACCTAGGAAGAGGATAGAATAATTTACATAATCAAGAAAGTGGGGTGGAGGCTTAGATGAGATTACAGTGATTAGAGGTAATCAGCTCATGGAGAAACTTACTTGGGGATGGGTGAGAAGATGCTGAGGCCAGCTCGGAACTTCTTGATGGTACCACTTGCCTTGAACCAGCTATGCCTCTTCTCCTGCTGGGTCTTTAAGAAATCGTTGCTGAGATGTTTCCATTGTTGGGATGTAAACATACCCAGGATCCTAAAGAATTAAAGAGCAACAGGCTTAGAGAAGCTCAGGCAGGGGAAGCCCAGGTCAAGAAATAGGACTATAAAAGGCAACTAATCTAAAATTCAGACCAAGGGACTGCAAAGCTAGTTGTTGTAGGGGAAGGTGTGTCTCAAGACCCCACTGATATAATCTTAGCATGGAAATGTACTGTCCTAAAGTACCTCTTTAACTTCGTGGGTAAATTCCCACTCCCTTACCTAGTCTAATGGACCAGAAAAATTCTTAGATGCTTTGCCTTCAGAGGGAGATCTGAAAGGTGAGTCTTCAAAGGCTGTGAACCTGGCAATTTACTGCCTTGGCAATTTACTGCCAAGAAGAGCTATACTGAAAGTGGAACAGAAGTGATGAGTGCCACCCTCTGCCTTGTGAATAGTGAAAAAAAGGACAAGGGACACGAAGGGTATGACACTGTTAGGCAAAACATTACATCCCCAAATTTATGGTTTCCAACTTGGGCTGGGCCCTCAGCTAGTCTTGTCAGTCCTTTCACTTGTCCTTGATAAGTTCTCTCTAGTATCACTCTACCTTATTATTCTAAATCCTTATCACCTTCTTTAAGCTCCTAACTTCACCTACAACTGATAATCTCTCTTCTCAATAGAAAAAACTGAAGGCATGAGGTATCATCTTCCATAATTTTGCAAATCTACTACAGAATGCGTTTCCATTTCTACCCTTACTTGTTCCCTCCATTCTCTGGAGACAAGGTGACCTTCCTATTAAGGATCAATTGCTCTATTTGTCCTCTAGATCTCAGCCCCTCATGGGACCTTGATCTGTCAATCATCCCCGTCTCCTGTCAGTTCCTTTACTGAAGTCTACAAAAAAGTTTCAAGTTTCTTTACCTCAGCCTAGCTACCTCTCCCTCTTCCCCTTATATCCTCATCCAAATTTCTTAATCCACACTTATTGTTTCTATTTTGTTGCCAATCACTCACTTCTCCAGAATACTTACTGTATTCTGGTTTCTACCTTCACCACTCCACTACAATTGCTCTCACCTTGATGCTAAATCCAACAAAAACTCCTAAGTTCTCCTCTTACTCATCCTCTCTGGCATCTGGCCCTCCTTGTAGAAACGCTCCTCCTTGCCTTCTCTGACTCTATTCTCTTCCCATTTTTCTCCAGTTTCTCTGACCTACCTTCAGTATTTCTTCTTCCTCTACCTACTCCTGCTATTTTGTCTGGGTTAAAGGGTGTTCTGCCCTTGATTTTATTTTCTTCTCATTCTATCATGCTCTCCTTTAGCAATCTCATATTCTACACTGGGTGCAAGTCTCACCCATACACTGCTATATAACTTCAACCTGAACCTCTCTTGTAAGTATCAAATCTACATATCTAACTCTGTATTGAGCATCTCCACTGGAATATCCTAAAGTTAACTTTAAACAACATGTTGAAAATGGAACTAACTATCTGTCATCATCCCACAAACGTGCTCCTCTTCCAAATCCCTATATAAATGAGTGGTATTAAAATTTACCCAGACATCTAGGCTGGAAACCTAAGAGTAATATTCCACTGTTCCTTGGCTCTTATCATATACAACATATCCAAATCATTCTTCAAGTCTTATTGATTTTAAACCCTGAAAATTTCTCTATTCTATCTCTCATCTCTAATCTTACCTACAGTCGTAATTTGGTTCAGGCTTTCATTATCTCATGTATGGACTTCTACAAATGCCTCCTATTAAAACAGTTCTGGTCTCTTATCTCACCCCTCCTACCAATTTTGCACAGTGCTACCAGAATGGTTTTGTTTTTTTTTCTTTTTGTGGTACACTGGCCTCTCACAGTTGTGGCCTCTCCCGTTGCGGAGCACAGGCTCCGGACTTGCAGGCTCAGCGGCCATGGCTCACGGGCGTAGCCACTTCGCGGCATGTGGGATCTTCCCGGACCGGGGCACGAACCCGTGTCCCCTGCATCGGCAGGCGGACTCTCAACCACTGCGCCACCAGGGAAGCCCTAGAATGTTTTTTTTAAAACTAAATCTGACCATCTCCTTTCTCTGCCTAAAACCTTTCAGTGCTCCCAAAAGCCCAAGATCCTCTTTGATTTGGACTCCTTCCTGCTTCTCTGGCTTTAACTTTAGTTCCTACCATTCTCCCCTTGCATTTTACTAGCAATACATAACTACTTGAAGCTTCCTACACACATGCTGCTTCACATGACTATGCTCTTGCAAATGTTATTTACTCCACTGTCTACAAGGGCAACTCTTATCCATCCTTGAAAACCAGTAATCATCTCCCTTTCATCTTTCATTCATCCACCTGCCACCAGACTGAGTTACACCTACATCTTCCTCTGTGTTCTTTCTAAATCTTACATATTCACTTGTATTAGAACATGTATCCACTGGACTCTATTTGGAACTTGACTGAGTTTACTTCTCAGTATTGTATACCAAATACTTAGCAAGGTGCTCAACACATTCAATAAACTAAAACTGTCTGAAATCCTAGAGCCCCACTCTGAGGAAATGTGATAAGCATGACTCTAATTCCAGGGTTGCACTTTTCCTTAAATGCTAAGTACTTATGAGTTTCACCTCTCACCTCCAGGAAGCCTCAAGGCCAGATACCCCAGAAACACAAGCTCCCTTACCTAACCATAAATTTGGCTCCCCAAATTTATTTTAGTCTTTCTTGGGCATATCTCAGAAATACACTTTTGGAAACATTCAAGAGTCTGCCTGTCCATCCACATGTCCATATCTCTTTCCC